AGCTCTGCTGTCAGCTCTGTGATCAGCGGTCGCATTAACAATTACACATAGGCCTATTTGTTTGGCTCTGCATGAGACATGGACATGTGGTATGCAACATGTAAAAAGTGTCAATAACACAAATCTCACAGTCAGTGCATGAGAGCAATTAAAAACATTTCCTGGCCACCAAAAACCTGGATTGTCCTCAGAAAAGGGAGACATCTGGTCACCCTGAAGTAGGTGGAGAGTAAATACAAAGCAAAAAGAGAATGAATATTGAACGTACATTAATCAGGTGGACAGAAACACAACTCTAAATGAGAGATGATGTTGCTGGGAGTCAGCTGGACATGTAAATAGGCAACTGTTTGCTAATTCTTTTGTAGTATCAACTAAAAATCTGACGGTATATCGGTTTTGTTTACAACTTGTTTTGGCTGCCCCAAAGTGGAAACCCACCAAAAAAATCCAGTTACATCCTGTGAAAATTAACTCTGTATCTCACTCACTTCAGCTGAAGACCATATGACTGAAGCAAGAAGTCAAGCACACATTTCCTGTTTCTGTGGTGTCCTTTTTCAGCAAGTCAGAGCTCAACTTTGTTCAAATTTGACCTGCAAACAGAAGTCAATATTCTGTCGTCATTCGTTTTAGCACACTATATTAATACACAAACGCACAATATAAACCAGACTACAGTCTACAAATATCATTGCATTTATTTATGAACAGTATCAGAACTGTCACGTCTTTATTTCAGGGCTGAGCGAGGGGCAATTTGTTAAACAGAGTGCTAATGAGATCTGAGCTTGATGCAGAAGTTTATTAACTAGCTCCGTCGATCATCATCACAGTACGACCTTGATGCAAGAGAGAAAACCTTGTTAAGGCATTTATATAACTGCTGTAATTATATGAGTGTTGCCTTGTTCTGGTTATAATCAACTAATTATTGTTGTCGCAGTGGAAATGAACAGGTGCAGCCGGTTCACACCTGTTTTCTCTCAGGAACTCACATGCTGCAGAAGAAGTCAATGAAGCAGGCTGAGGAAAGCTGGGAAATATGCCCTAAAATGTTATGAACTTCACACTTTATGGGCATGAGATTGCATTTTTCCTCTGGGTGTACGGATCACTTAAGTGTCTGTGTGGAGAAGTTTTGATTTGCTTAGTGAAATAATATGTAATCTCATCATTATATTAATTAAATGTCTCAAATAAAAAAATGAGATGGAGGGAGATCCAGTGGGGGATGTGGAGTCATATCTGGTTTTTCGAAGCAATGATCCAAACTCGGGGTAGTTAGAGACAACATCATTACAGTCACCATGGCAACAGAATGGCCATTCGTGATGTTTCCACAATTAGACCCACATATAGCTGACCTCCTTTATTATCCTCCATCGCTTGTATCGATCCAGCGTTTCATCTCATCATCAGTGCGACCGTCTGTTACACCTGCCTCTCCTTCTTCGTGCCGACATGTCTGTTGTCTATGTGCGGCATGTGCTGTGTGTTCCTGTGACCTTATATCTTCACATATGATTGTGTGTGTGTTTGTTTTTGTGTGTCTGCTGGTCTCCATATTGACTAATCTCTGGGGACGTCACCCTCCATTTTCAGCTCATAATAGCCACTTAAATAATAATGAGCAGGTTAACCTTTACAGCTTTGCTTGAACCAAAATCAAAATGATGTTCTCCTCTGAACTCTGATCCTCCAGAACACTGCCTGGATCCATTAGAACCAATGAAAAACGTCATTACACACAGAGAACCCATAATTAACACTGATCCTATGGATGTGACTTCAGAGCAGTGGCGTGAAGACTTTTTGAAGGGCAGGGGCGAAAAGAAAAAAAAGGGCACATACAGCACGTTCTCGCCACTGAAGAGGGCACTAAGTTCCACGTGTTTTCGAGGGCATTTTAGACATGTTTATATGTTATACAAATGGCACATTATATAGCCTTAAAACAGACTAACTAGACAGACTACTCAAGTTAGTTTGTAGTTAGGATCAGCATCCACGAGAACTGTGTAGATTCAACGCTGGATTGTGAAGAACACACAGAGACGGATGTATGAAAGAAATAAATGCCTGGTGGGGTCTGGGGGTTCTCCCCCAGAAAATTTTCAATTACAGTAAGTATATGCCATTTCCTGTATTCTAGTGCATTTTAACACCATATTAGCACCAGATAATCCAAACTGGTTCTGTGAGATATAGTTCTGGCTCAATATAGATCAAAAAAGGGCCCAACATAAAAGTCATTGCAACAGTAATGTTTTAACCAGCCAAGAGGGCAGTTTAGTGTGTTTTCTGGCTCCGAAGAGGGCACTTTAGTGCGCGTTTTGGCTCCCAGGAGGGCACTTTAGTGCACGCTTTGGCTCCCAGGAGGGCACTTTAGTGTGCGTTTTGGCTCCCAGGAGGGCACTTTAGCGTGCATTTTGGCTCCCAGGAGGGCACTTTGGCTGCCAAGAGGGCACTTTAGCGTATGTTTTGGCTCCCAGGAGGGCATCTTGGCTGCCAAGAGGGCACTTTAGCGCGCATTTTGGCTCCCAGGAGGGCACTTTAGTGCACGCTTTGGCTCCCAGGAGGGCACTTTAGCGCGCGTTTTTTGACAATTGGGCCACGGGGGGGGAGGGAGCTCCAGTCAAAGACGTTTATGTGTGTCTGCAGTGCTACCTGTGTGACAAAACTGAATCTACTGAAAGGTTTTTGATGCTTCTCTGCGGTGATGGTTGCACTGTTTGGCAGGCGCAACACAGCTGCTACTTTATAGTGTTTGATTAACACAATTCTGTCTTGGGTGTCTGGGCACGAGGCCTACTTGCATGATATAGTTGTGTATTATACAACAGCAAGTTCTGACAAAGTAGTTAAACTGGACAAGAGGCAATTAATGAATGCTGATGTAGAGTACAACATCACTATGCATGTTTCCCTCTGCTTTACAGGTGTTCTAAAACGTTAATTACACTAACCATTAATTAGCCTGCAGACATACCAAGCTTATTTCCACTAATAACATTTGAGTTCAATTATGAATGGTCATCAGAAGACAACAAAGGAAAGCCTGGATGCTTCACTGCAGACCAACGTGCTGTCTGATCAAGCTTTAAACACATCAGAATCACACATGGCACCAGAGCGACCGTCAACAGACTCTTATTGCATTGGCTGTGTAATTAATTGAAACATGTGGTTATCTTCTCCTACGACTGAATCACAGTCGTGCTTATATTCAGTACAACAACACTTCCTCTTGTGTGATGCTGCTTAATTTGAGCTCTTGGGACAAGCAACACAGTGACTGCACATGGTGTTGGGTAAATTCTCTGAATCTATATTGTTTTCACCACCAGTTGGTGATCACTGTGGCCTCCATCCTCTCTGGTACCACCGGTGTTTGTCATTAACTTAAATCTGTCTCATCATCTTCCTCTCCTGTCTGTGAGGGGGAGTTCAACAGTTTTTTCCTTTTTGGCAAAGTTAATTAATTTGCTTCAGTGTGTTTCACTACATTTTTAGTTGTGTGTCCGATTAGCTAGCTAATGTTTTAATTACACTCATTTATTTCATTCCTCCCCCAATGATGATTGTGACTTATGAACGACAAGGTAAGGGAATTTTGTTCCCTGAATTTGTCCTTAAGGTAGCTCTTCTCCTCAGGCTTAGGGGCATTTTACAGGGTTACTAATATTGCCTAGGACCTGCTTTAAAAGTCAAAGTTAGATAACAAAAGTCTCTTGTTTGGTAAACGCCACAGATTACACTAAAGACGGTAGCATCCTCGGCTGCAGCCTTGCTGATGAGCATTTGTGACTGTTTTTTAGGAAGTGTAAGTAAATCCCTCTGCCCAGAGGTGGATACCTGCCGCCACTACACCTCTGTAGGGGTGTTACACGTACAGTCTGCGGGTGTTACCTCACCTTTTGTTTTGTTGTTTTTCTTTTCTCTCCTCTACAGGCCCAGACACGCCAAACCGACATCAGAGAACTAGGGACAAGAGCCACCTGCTGTGTCTTAGCGGAAAAGTTGCACATGAACACACCAAACTGACGGCCAATCATGTGTATGTTATGCACCTGTGTGAGAGGACATACCCCTCCATACCAGCAGATGGCGGTTGTCATTCAAAAGGGAAACCAGCAGACCATCTTGGCGCTAGTTAGCCAGTTAGCACATTAATAAAACAACCCAATGCTGAAAGAACATATTTATAGTTTCTGCTAAAGAGCTCAATGGCTCAAAAAAAAAAACAATCTTACCTCATATGACAAGTTTGTGTTGATCTCACTCCCTCTTGACTTTAGCTCTTTGGTTATTTTTCTCACTTCCGTCTCACTGAGCTGAACTTCCAACTAGAGTGATCTCATTTAATTGACTCCACTTTTGCCAGCGGAAAAAAAAGCCTACTAGCGCCAACAAAGGCACGGATGAGGGCAGCAGACGCTCACCAACGGCCCAACTTTGACCGATGGCTGACCATCAGCTTGGTCTGTCAGGGCCTTAAAACATCTTGCTATCACCTCTCCAGACCCTGAAAGGCACAAGAGAGCACCTGAGCTGACTGAGGCTGCATACCTGTAAAGTACAGATGGCAGAGTGGAGAGAAAGACACAAACTCTTTGTTAGGTTATAGATATTTTACTGTTGATTTTGGTTGTGGGTCATCAGTAGTCCTGTTTGTTTGTGTTGTTTGGTGTGGTTAGGTAAGCTTTCTATTGTATTTCTCAGCATTTTCCTTTTTTATTTTTAAGGTTGAGTCCCCTTGTCTTATTTGTAAGCTACTCTTATTTAGGAATAAATACTGTTTATTTAGGTGACTCTTTGGTGGTGGTCTTACATTTTATGATCTCTGTTTAAGCCTTTGTTGTGTAAAAGGTTGTAGGAGAGAGGGAAATCTACATTCTGTCCAGACAAACAGGTTTGTACAAAAAAGGTAAAAACTTATTTCTCTCATAACGTCTCTCCGCTCCCTGCTTCAAAACAGACAAGACAAAAGTCTTGGCAAAGTTTGACAGTAATGTTTATTGAATGAACAACCATGCTGACTGAACACTTCCACGATCACATCACAAACCCAGAATATCTCCGTCAGGTCCATCACCAGAGCTCGAAGTTTGAAGAGAGTTGAAATTCATTTCACGAGCTGCATTTTTTTTTTTTCAACGATCGACCTCAACTTCCAAAATTACTTCTTGAGACACAAGTGGAATAAAACGCAACAGAATATGGATGAGCTCAAACTGTCTGACTTCGTTCTAACAGCGTCCCTGTAGCAGAAGCAGTTAATATTCTTCTTCTCCATGATGAATACTCTTGTCTGTGACCTTTAGGCATGTGTTCGACAACTGTGTTTTGTGTCTAGTTATTAGCTCTGTGAGCTCTCGTAGTCTAGAAGTCATTCAAATTCAAACACAGACAGTTCTCATTTTCCCGTTGATGTGGATGGCCATTGTGTGTGCATGTGTATGTGTGTGTTGTAAGTTGCATCACCCTTTAACGACCCAAATACTCCCTCTCTTTTTTTTTTAGCCTATCCAGCGTGTTGATCTATCCGTCACTCCTGATGACGTGAAACAGTGTGACGTTGTAGAGCACCTGGTGTCCGTTGTTCCAGGTGTACAGCGCTCTCTCTCTGGGGTTGTAGTCCATCATGCTGATGTGGGAGTACTGGTTATGGAAGGGGATGTCAGTGTACTCGTACGTTGAGGAGTTGGTGTGGTAGGCAAAGTGTACCTTGGCCCCGGCCAGGTGAGAGTTGGTGACATACAGGGTACCGCAAATCATGAAGGCCTCCCCTGCGCTGCGCTTAGGAAACCCCGTGTCCCAGCTGCGGATGATTTCCAGCGAGCGGGAGTCCAGACGACTCACCTACATACAGAGAGAAAGGGAAAGGGTCACTGAGATCACAAGATCATTCAACAGTTCACACAGTTATGAGAAGAAGCCTTTTTTACTTGTATTTTTGTGAATGAACAAAGCTGGTTTATCAGCTGATACTAGCTCACTGTAGATACATCTGTACTGGCATATATGCCAGCCGACAAGCACCAAGCAGTGTAGAAATGGCAAAGATATGTTTGAAATGAGGGCTGGGTATCATTTAAAAATTAGGAAACCAGTACCTGTACTGGTACCCTTTAAGTGATACCAATATGAACAGCTGATACCAGTTGAGTGCTTCATGTGATACTCAAAATGTGAATGGAGTGGCGTGTAGCATAACCGTAATATTGAACATTTTGTTGGCATTTCGGCACACTTTACTGCCAACTCAAAAAATAAATAAATAAATAAATAAAAATAAAACTCAAGTGTTGACTTCACCACACCACAGGCTGTATGGGTTGTAGCTGCTGCTGCAGGAGTGTGAGCTCCGCATTGGTGACAGTTGTGAGAGTCCACCTGACCACACACACACACACTGTGACAAGGCTGAAGGTTAGAACCACACAGCCATCGTTACCAACAGGTTTAACAACAGAGTCGAACTGTTTCAGTGTCAGTGTGAGTTTGTTGGGACTGTTTAACAGCTCAGTGTTGGATGTTAGCCGCTGCTGATGTGTTAGCTTGTGCTAACCGCGTAAATGTGTAACTGAACATTTACCGCGCAAGGGGCAGCTCCAGAGATGACAGCAACAAAAAGTTTTTCAGAGTTTACTGTGGATAGTCAGGACGGTCCAGGGTCACAAAAAGAACCAATTTGAAACAGAGAGCATAAACAAATGTGTTTCCAATTGTAGAATGTCCTGCTCTCTACCAATCCTTCTTAAAAAAAAGATCATTTCATTGTCAAATTGGTTTTTTTGTCATGTGTTTATGTATAAAACAGGCCTGTCAAAGCTTTACAGACCTGTTGTGCCTAGTCATGGTTACTAAGCTGTAAGTGAATTTCTAGGCACCTGCTTTCATGCACATTTTGAATCTGCAAATAAAAAAAAAAAAGTGGAAATGCCAAAAAATTCAGGAGAAAAAGGTAAATGCATTGCAATCAGGTTTTTACAGTGGGCTCAGGTGGAAAAGTTTGTGTATCAATAAATCCCAAATGTGTCAAAATGCAAATAGACCAAGTGAATGAATCATTGTGAACATAAAAACATCCATGGATGAATTCTAAATTCTGGATGCAAACTTGACTTATGATTGAACAGTTGATGTTTGGGGGAGACGTTAAGTGAGAAGTAATTGCTTTACGTGGTACCTTGTACTTTTGTACTTTCAGTAAAAGGTCTTTGGAGATGAGCCTGGATTTTATTGCATCCTGCTTTTTCCTCCCCAGGGTATTCAGTGTTTTTCTTTGGGTTGTAATTTAGTTTTTGTTTTAGATGTATGAATAGTTTTTTGTTTATTACTCTTACGGTGGTAAACCTCTAGACGTTTCAGTTCCTTTTGTTTTCATGTTTTTGAAACCCGTTCATCAATCTTTACATTATGTCTCTCTCTCTCTCTCTCTCTCTCTCTCTCTCTCTCTCTCTCTCTTTCTCTCTCTCTCTTTCTCTCTCTCTCTCTCTCTTTCTCTCACACACACACACACACACACACACACACACACGCATTCTTGTCCCCTGGTGTAGGCAGGGGGTTGTAACAGGTGCACAGAAACAGAGAAAATTAGCTGTAAATTGTATATTTAATTCATGTGAGGAAAGACTGCAGTATCCGTGCTGTTCCTTATGATAGATTACATTATTCAATGCAGCAATCTGTCTCAGCTGTTCTAATGGATTTTTAAAAAGCGTGGGAGTTTGTGACTTCTGAAAGGTAAAGCAAACCTGCTGACAGCAGGAACTTCAGACTGGAACAGATACATCAGTGGGTTTAGATTCAGTTTCAGTCATTTAACTTTAAATAAAGTTTAAACATCTCTTAATGTTTTTTGCTTGTTATTTTGTTGAGTGCAGGAGCACACACACATAAACACACACACACACACACACACACACGCACACACACAGACACACACACAGACTGTACCATAATGTTTCCAGCATTTGGGATGGAGGTGTATACCGCCCACAGGCCCATCTCATCCGCCATGAGGTCGATGTCAGAGGATCCTCCCCAGCTGTAGGGGAAGGTGTTGTTGTAGCCAGCTCCACTCAGGCTGCGCTGGAGCAACACACTGCGAGAGCGGAAATGGTACTGAACCTGGAAAGACAGACATGTGCGTCTCTCACTCTCATCATATAATTATGAAACTGATATTTCTCCTGTGTTTCCATTCCAGCAAGTCTCCTACCAAGATGTTGCTCTGGTGTTTGTTGTAGTAGAGTGACCCATTGTACACCACGTGGCCAGTTCCTGCCCAGGGGTGGGGCAACAGATGCTGCACAAAGTTCTGCCCCTTTGTGAAATCCCCCATGGTTCTGTACTCCAACACACGCCTGCCCTTGTAGTAGCCGTCCATGGACCACACCTGATGGAGGAAGAAAGAGAAACAGAAGGTTTATCTCTGTATGCAGGATGCAAAATTAAAACCCATCGAGCATTAGATCCTGTGAAATCTGCAGAGAGACCCATCATGGTCACCTGCCACGCTCACCAGCAGCCTGATTACATCATGACATGGTGTTCTGCTTATGACTCATACTTAAACACTGTCCCTAATGGCCACTGCACACCTTAACCTGATGAAATGAGTGACAGCAAACCAAAGACATTTAATTTGACTGACCATACAGTAAACTCCTCACCCGAACAGCGGTTGTCTAATCATAGCTTAGCAACCGTAACTAGGCACAGTGGGTCTGTCAAGCTGGTGATTTCTCTGTATGCTGAAGAGGTGTGCATGGGGCTGTAGTAAGAGTGATACTTGATATCCAAAGTGTTTACAAGGCTGTGCTTTTATAACACATTTTACATTAGTACATTTATAATATTAAAGTAAATTGAGGGTAACTTAACATGCAGTATCTAAATATAATGAAAGGAGTCTCTGTGTGTCTGTCCTTTGACTTTCTCAACAACCATTCATTCGACTGAGTTCACACTTGGCTGGTGTTGAGGACCCAAGGAACTGAAGTGTCGAGTGCAAGCTCTTGAGATCTACCAGAAATATTTATTAGTAATGCATTACTACTGCCAGAAGTACACACTGTGTATCAATGCCACTGAGCAGCATGCTAGATACAGCTTGCTCTCTGTTGTTAGCTACTATACATACAACTAGAGTTGCTCCAGTACCAATACCAGTATCAGAAAGAACTGATCTATACCATGTAATTTATTAATAACCTTTGATTTAAAGATTAAATGGCATTTTCCCATAAATCAATCCCTCTTCACTGCTTTAGAACAGTAGCTTATACTGCAGGTTGAGCTGTGGAGCTACTGTTTTAGAGTGGTGAAGAAGAATTGATTTTTCTGTAAATATTGCTTCTAACAAAATGTCAGCAATTTGGCAATATTTTACACTGGATAAAAGTTTTATGGCACACACTTCCTGTATGTTTTTGTTCATGTTTTACAAAGGGTTTAACCTCAGCCATGCCACACAACAAGTATGCCCCTGGCTGATCCTGCTCCTGCTGCTATATCAGAGATTATAGGGTAATGCTATTGTCTCTGTTTGAGCGAGTGAGGAAGTTTACACTCCAGCGACCTCAGCCAAACTCGTTACACAAGAGAGTGTTATGCTTGTCTTACACATGGGTCATGCTGAAAGATTTTCCTCTTGCAAAAGTACAAAACAAAAGCTGTTTGAAATGATAACCATTAAAGTTTAAATCTAACCTAACCTCTAAATGTAACATCCACATGCCTGATCCTGCACTTTTCTTTATCTAACTGCACTATGATTCAAGAGCAAAGGTTTAGCCTGCAATACAACAACAGTGCTGTTTTGTAATTTCCATGTCTTCTGCATGAATCAACAACTGGCAAAGATACTGACTTTTTCCTGGGACGTGCAGCTGTAGCTTCGGTCTTTTAGCATGATATCATACATGTTGAGTCCACGTGTTTTAAGAAGAGTTAGCCAGTCACAGGAGTTAACATTAATAAGCTAACACTTGCTAGTTCAGCTAATAAAATCTGCTAGATGGTGTTCCCTCTCACAGTCAGTGAAAGAGATCGCTGGAGAAACAAATGGACAGAGAAGGAGAGAAGGGGGGAGAAGAAACGAGATGGGAGGAAAATTGAGCGTCGACAGCATGGAGGATTAATTACCCAAAGAGGGACGAGAGGTGAAATAGATGAAAGAAAAGGGCAGAGAGCTTTGGCAAAAGAGAGCATTGTTGGTGAAAAGGATGCTCGTTATTCCCTCTGCACAAAGTACAGAAGACAGAGAGGAGGAAGCAGATGAAAAGGATCTTTTTTTCGTGGGTCGAAGAAATCTCTCCTGCAGTGGCAGCATCATTTTTTAAATTACAGTTAATCTGTGGTCGCAATATTTAAAATCACATTGAATTAGACTTTCTGACAAAGGCTGCTGATTGCAGTGATTTTGAGGGCCTTCAATAGCACAGTGTTTAACTGAGACTTAGCTTGAGGTTTGCAAAGACAATGAAATGGACTGATTGCTCTCTCTCTACCACCAACAGTCTCTTCTCTCCACTAATACTTCTTGTTCCAACCTATTTTTCTCCCTGCTTCACCAGCTCATCTGATGAAGCTTTCTCTGTTTTAATTCCCTTTAAAACAGTGCTTCAAAGGAACTGGAATCCCTTTGTTTTCTGGCAGCTGTAATCGTCTCGCATTTGAATGCACCATTTGCTTTATATAAACAAGCCCCAGACGCTGATTATACAACGAACGGTGCGTGTTAGAAAGTGAGTGGGGATGTTTTTTTTGCTGTTTCCTGAACTCACACCTTAGTTTTACAGATTGTTGCACTGTTTTCTTTCTGTTCCTTCCCAGTTGGCCTTCCCTCATACTTTTCTAAAGGAAAGGTTCAGATTTTTTAAGTCTATCATAATACAATACTCCTGCCGTGAAGTGATCTCTTCGAAGTTAAACTACACTTGAGAACAAAATCCACAGCTCTTGTTCTGTGACAATATTTCATCTTAAATGCACCTTGTTAGAAAAATCAAATGTGTGTCATTGCCTGGGCTACGATGTCTTAGGTCGGTTTCACACGTGTAGATTAGCTCAGTTTGTTTCAGGACAAAGAAAAAGCATGGAGTATTACCATTTTTCAGTTCTGGTCAGCTTTGTGTTCAAACTAACTTTTTACAAACTAACCAAGAGGATTAAACATGAACTGACTGGACACTGACAGCAGGACATGTAGCACTTTAGTGATTCGTATGTGTTAATTTATCTTACCTAGAGTTAATGAAGAAGTAGCCGATGATTTGTGTTACTGAGCGAGACTGCAAGTTTACTGACACACAGGTAGAAACAGCTCAACAAAGAGGTATCTTTAGCTTTATGGAACTGCCAAAGTACACATAGTACGACACAAGCTCAAAGCACAGTTGCTTTAACAGGATTTTCACTTTCTTTCTGATGTATCGTGAAAAAAATACATTACCGTGGATACCTGATCATTATTGCTTTAAAGGGCTCTATGCAAAATTCAAAGCATACAAGTTGTCTTGACACAGTTCTTAAAATGCAGATGGCTGAGCTAGCAGCTAATAGTACTCCATAAACAACAGTAACGGTGCTGACAGAGCTTATGGTTAACCGGGGGTGAATGGGAGGGTGGGTGCTACGTTATGTGATGACGTCATTCCAATATCAGCAGTAACTGCCGTATGAGCACAGTGTAAAGCGGTGGCAGTGAGCAAGCCAGTGGGATACATACCTGCACAACATGCATGTGAGGTCGGAGCTGCTTACCACAACAAAAAGCAGAGAAGCTCAGATTATAACACACGTAGAAATAGTGTGACTTTATTCTCTGCTCAGGACGCCACTATATCTTCACATAGCAAATAGTGGTCTGAATGTCACATACAGGACCTTTAAATATATATAAATTGATCGTAGAGATTGCTTTCTTAACAATTAATGATCAGCTCTTGGCTCTAACAGTAGTTCAGTTAGTGAAGTTACGCGAGAATCATGTGCTCAATACAGATAAAAAAGCTGAATTTAGCTCCTTCTTTGCAGCAACACAATGCATCATCATAAGACACTTTGTTATCTTGTCAAACACGAACGTACAGTCCTGGTAGATCACTTTGTAAAGCTGAAATTATGCCTCTGCATAGGTCACCGAGGGGGCAATGTACACAGCTTCCAAAACTACAAAAATATGACATGTAGACCTAAACTCAAAAAGAGGGTTTAAAACGGAGAAGAAAAAACATGACATAACTTTAATTTCTCGTCTTTTCATCTTGCAGTTTGACACTTAATTCGTCTAAATCAGACTTCCGCAACCTCATTATTTTAAGCTGAACTTTTTCAAGCATTTTTAAACAACACACATTGTGGATGTCATCTTGTATTTCTTATAGAGGAGTCACGCTAAGAAAGGATTGCTTCACGGTTAGTATGGAGGAAAAGACTGATCACAGCAACCAGTGACCCTTTAAATACTGCCTGTCTTGACCTCTTTTCCCCCTCTCCCTCTCTGTTGTCTTTTCTTTTTTGTCACCTCCCTCGCTTTTTTATTACCATCCCGCTTGTCTGTCCCGACTGTTGCTCTTTTGATCAACCTTCCCCAGCTTCCCCCCTACTCTCTTTGTTTCTTCTTCTTCCTGTCCACCCCCTCTTTCATTCCAGTCTCTGCTTCACCTCTCCTCACCAACAGGCCCCATTCTCTCTCTCATCCTCTCTCTCCCTCTCACACTATCAGCAGAGACATCTTGACAGATCAGGGGATATCCACACCTCAGCAGCTGTTCTCGAATACAGCGACAGGTGTGTGCAGGCGTGTGTGTGTGTGTGTGTGAGTGTGCAAAGTACAATGCGTGCACACACATTCACACACTGATGAGCTAATGAAGAATTCATAAATGCCAAACTGGGACCCTGTGCAGACACTGTAGTCATGGATACCAAAGGATGTATGAGAGTGACTTTACTTACAGTGTGTGTGTGTGTGTGTGTCACTAGTTTCACACACCTTTAAATTCACTAAAAGATTTATAAAATTTAAACGATTTTTCCTTTTATAGAAAAAAAATTGAAAACTAAATCTATGTATATTTGCCAGTTGGTAGGTGATGTTTTTGATGCTCTATATACGCAACCTCATAATCACGACCTTATGAAATATCAAAGGCCATCATCTGTGCAGTAATGCTAGAAGAGTTCACAGACATCGCTATTTGGATTTAAATATCTATTTCTTAAGAGAGACAAAGACTCTTGTTGTTGATAAATTAATGCAATAAGTTCATTGCTTTTTCAGTGTATTTGCCCAGTGAACGACTTTCATAGGAATGAATCCAGTTCTCCTTGAAATATAAAAGGTTTAAATAATGCAGGTTTGAAAATGTTCAAAAAATGAGCTGTGCAAATGTTTTGTGAGGAAGGAAATGCATCCAGCACATTCGTTAGGCCTCAAGGAAACACACAGTGCATTTCTAACACTTAATGTAAACATAACAAGTTTGTTTACAAGAGAACTCCACAGGGTTTCTCGAAGCTTGAAGAAAAGCAAGATAAAAGTGATTTCAGCAAGATTACAGCTTTTTATAGTTCCACTGGCTCATTTATAAAACAAATCCAGAAAAAAATATTTACTGTATTTGTATAAAATGCATTACTTGTGCATTGCTGAGTGTCTCACTCAGATTTAGGGACACTGTGTATACAGCATTAACAGCCAGAGACAGAGAGAGCTCGGGACAAATATGCAAACAGACACAGGGACCAGGAAAGAGCCCCAACCCATAACTGTAACAGTCACACTGGTAACTGGGAAACAGAAGGCAATAACTGGGATACTGCTGCTGTGTATAGCTCCTTCTCATCACCAGGGAGAGGCTCTAATAGGGAACAGGCAAGGGTCACCATGGCGATATAAATCACACCTGGCAACTGGGAGACAGTCGCCTTGACAACTAGCTTAATATGCACTCGCCGAACAGAGAGAGTGTGTGTGTGTGTGTGTGTGTGTGTGTGTGCAGGAAATGGCTGAAGCTTGTAACGAGTGAAGACAAAGTGCACACAGGAGTCCTGTTGGAAGTAAGGCAGGAAGACAGAAAAATACACTAAGAAAAATATGGAGCTCGGCTACCTTGTGACCACATTTACAACACCTGCTTCAATTGTCATGAACACATACACACACACACACTGCACACCTACCCTGCTGTCAGAGCTGGGAATCATGGCATCAGTCATCCAGGAGCCAAAGCGGGACCCTGAGGCTCTCACGGTGATTGGGCTACTAACTGCAGTCAGACGACCACAACCTGTTAACAAAGACAGACGTGTTGTATTAAATCTGAAAGAAGTTTAAAAAAAAGTGAGTTTTACATATGCAGTAAGCAAACAGCGGTCCCTTCAGGATGTTGTGATTGCGACAACTAACGCAACTCAACTGAATTCTGTGCAACCTTGCACTTTGGTCCAATCAATGCAACTTTACCAAAAATGTGACTATTTAAAACAGGTAAAATCTCATTTCACCATAGCGCTGCGCACAGCAAATTGAAGTGTGAGCTACAGGCCTGGGACAGTCACACACACAGTGACAGGGCTAACTGTTAGCATCACACAGCTAACACTACCCCACAGTTATAACTGGGTTTAACAACCGAGTTGTTTTCGGTGTTGCTGTGAGATTGTTTGGACCGTCTAACGGCTTGGTGTCTGATGTTAGCCGCTGCTCTGTTAGCTTTTGCTAACCAGGCAGAGAGAGCGGGAGGAAAGCGGCTCACGAAGACAGTCCTTCAGTGCTGCATTGGACCACCCGCTGATCATCCCTGATCAGCTGATTTTGCCCTACCCTCACCCATTTCCAACTCTATCACAAATATATAACTATTACTGCAATTTATACTTGACCCTGTGGCTCAGGGGGTAGAGCTGTTCGATCCCCGGCTCCTCAAGTCCACATGTCAAAGTTTTCTTGGGCAAGATATTGAACCTGAATTGCTCTTGATGGCTGTGCCGATGGTGTGTGAGTGTGTGTGAATGTTTACTGTAACTGAGCAGCAGGTGGCACCTTGTTTGGTAGCTTCGGCCAATGAATGAATGGGTGAATGTGACAAATCCTGGTATAGCAGTTTGGGTGGTCGGAAAAACTAGAAAGGTGCTATACAATTGCAGGTCCATTTACCATCCAATTACCATCCATTAACCAAATGCCTAAACACATTCCAACATGCATCACATTTTGTAAGAAAAGCTGCTATGAAATCAGACATTTCAGGCCACAAACAATCCCAGAAATGGCTTCCAGACTCATGGGAGGACTGAAAAGGGGAACATTATGGGAGTGAAGCAACAATCTGTGTTCATATTTTCTAGTTTGGAGTGAGTGATGGTGCCTGTCAAGGTCATGTGGCCAGCTTGTTTATTAGCAGCCATTGCCTGCCATCAGTCTGTATTCAATTTACCAACATTTCATGAAGTCCTTTAAAATAGTCTGTGCTCCAAGTATGAGCTGTGAAAAAATGTGTTTACCTACCACAAAATCCTAACAGAAAAGACATGACTGGAGAGAGGTGGAGGTTTGAGAGGAAGGGGGACTTGCAAGAAACAAATTTAAAAACGGTCAAAACTAGTAAAGCAGAGGCTGAAACACTCTGCCTGCTACATATCCACACACTTTTAAACTTTACTGCTCTAGTTCATAATGTTGATTTTTCTGTTAACAGTTTCAAGGCTCAACTCCAATCTGAGTTAAATTTCTCAGGTTTTAAAAAGTTCTCTCCACAGTCACAACTATTTTCACAGGCCGAGTACTCCTTGAGACTAAATAATAAACTCATCTTCATGTGTATAATCTGTGACGTACTCCTTTAAACCACTTAAATGCCTGACACTTCATGAATTTGACTTAATGTTTAACATTTCATGAGTTATTTTGAAGGCAGCATAAGTAATACTTTCCAGTGTATTACTGAGTGCTGCTGTCCCTACAACACATACCAAGTTTGTTCATGCAGCTGTGAAGCCTGGTCTCCAGCAGTAAAACCCTCTGCTGAAGCTCCTCATAGTCGTACGCTCCGATCTCTTCCTGAATGGATGTCAGGATGACTGACAGGTTGAGGAGCTCCATTCGCAGGGTGGCCAGTGTCTGAAGGTCCAATCTGTACTGCTCCACCACTGACAGTAGGGGTCGTAGCTGAGACATCTGGCCCTTTAGCTCCTGTGGGCGCATAAAAGACGAGAAGAAAAATAAGTTAGAGAGGAGATGGGGTGCAACGAAATGTGGTTAAATCTGACAAAGCATCTTTTTTTTCTTTTTCTTTTGGGAGAGCTATCTTGGAATAAAACCACTGCTCCTTCACAGCTAAATGAGGTAGTTTATGCTCCATGTCAGGACGCCCTCCTAGTGTGAGTGTGACTACTTCCCTGTGGATGAAGGGACTCTAGAATAGACTCAAGGCACTTTCCATTCAGCTAATTAGTCTTCTTCCCGTCCTCACTCCTCCATCCTGCAGCCTGTGACCTGGAAATTGATCAAGCGAGGAGAGAGGAGGTTTCTACAGAAACCACAGGTGGATTCTATGGGGACGTTTTTTTTATCTCAAAGCAACACTCCTTCAGTGTGAATCTGTGTAGTGAACATTTGGTCTGTTGTGGAAGCAGCAGAATTTTAAAATTAATGTTACTGCAAGATATAAAGTCCCACAGGCAAGACTGAACGGGTTTTGTTGCTCAGTCTGTCAGTCTATTAACTAAGTATGGGTTCTAAGTAGCCTCAGTGTACCTGGGTCGCACTATGAATGTAATAGGGAATGATTCATTTGCTGCACTGCATCAGCTTGTCCTAATGTCTTCTATGATATGCAGCGTTTGTAGTATGGTTTTATTGTTTGGTTACATTTTGTGTTTGGTATTCATGTGGATTCATATGAAACACTGTACATCCTGGTATGCAAATTTATCTGACAATAAAATGAAATTAAATCAAATCAAATTTAAATACTGTAAATTAGGTAAACTACCTGTGAAAGCATGAATTAAAGCACAAATGGCAGCTCTAATGTTACTCATTACTCATAAAATAGAATGATTAGTTGTGTGGATAATCTGTTTTCTCTTTTTTCTTCATTATTTTCTTCCTCTCTTCTTATTTTCCATTAAATTTGCATTTTGGCTCAGTCAGGAAGAATATACAGTCCTATACAGCCACACTGTCACATTTATTATTATCACCTGAGCCTGAAAAGTATCAGACTAACTGTACCTGTGGTCTTTCACAGACAAACTACAGAATTAATCAATGAAGTTACTAAAAAATAAAGTCTATTAGAGCTATTTCTATCACTGATATTCCATTACACACTGACAACGCAAGAGACTTTTTTTTTGTATTGGAGCAGGAATCATAAGGTGTTATTCTTTTCATTCACACTTAGTTTTATTTTTTTAGTACAAAAACAGTTTGCACAGCAAAAACACTTACACTGCTTCTTTTAGTCAGGTTTCAATGTCAAATTTCAGCAGAGGAGGAAAAAAATATGCAGACATTTCAGTTGTGTTTCAGTGAGGCAGGTCTAACGACAGGTAGCCACCTGGTGCACCTGTTGGGAATACCTTGATTGACACTTTGGTGAAAAGTTAAAAGGGATTAAACATGAAACATGAACAACTATCACACCATAAAGAAGGCATTGTGAGAACATATGTGCATTTTCTTCCTGTGTTTATGTTTCACCTTGAAAATTGAAAGAAGCAATCTTTGGGGAGTGCAAACCCTTTTTGTACTTCTTTCCCTCTTCTTAATTATCCCTACACATGTGAGATTTGAGATGCCGTCCGTCATAAGTAATTGCCTTCTCCATCCTCGCGTCTCACATCTCTCTCGCTAAGATGCGAGGAAGAGATGCAAGTGAGGGACCGCGTTAGCCAAATGGAAAAGTGCCCCCAGAAAATGCTGGAGGGACGACATATCCCATCTGGCCTGGGAACGCCTCACAATCCCACAGGAGGAGATGGAAGATGTGGCTGAGGGAAAGTACGCCTGGGCTACTCTGCACAGTTTGCTGGCACTTCGACCCAGATAAGCAGCATAAAATGGAGAGAGAAAAGTGGAGAGATGAGTCTTTTTCTGCATTTTGGCCTCCCAACAGTTAAAGACAGCTTTTTCTATACTGAAAATAGATCTTTTTTAAAATTGTCTGGCTAACTTTGAGCCAGTGTGGATGGAGAGAAAATTACTTTTTTCTGCAATCAGCTTGAGGGAAGATCGATATTTAGTGTATGCATTGAATGTATGACACATGACTGTGTGTGTTGTAGCAGGAGGATAAAGGGTGCTCCTAATATACCACTTTTATTTCTCTGTTTAGAGTCGACACTCGGATATCTTCTCACCCTCAAATCCCCCCACCCCAAAAAAACTGCTGTGTATCGGGAGGAGTTGGATTTGATATGGAAAAAAGAAAGGGATTAAAAGAAGTGTCAAAAGCGAAGACAAAAAGCTTATCATCTCGTCAGAACATTTCACACCCCCACAAACAAACACAACAACACATCCAGGAAACAGGCTTGGCAGTCAATCAAACACTTTATGTGTCTAATCCCTCCCGTTATCTTCAAATCAGGACCTAAATACTTTTCAGACATCACTTCAAAACATTTTCCGAGTCTTTTTTGGAACCATTATTTTTTATGTCACAGGAGAACAGTGTGGATGTTTTGTGATTGCCTGGGTCGGCCTTAAATTTGGCCACTCCATCCTCACTGATTTGTATTGGCATTGTAATTTGCATATAAATGTACGTTCATTAATATGCATTAAAACCAATCTTGACAAAATGCTGAAAATGTCATGGCCTGTTAGATAGTAAACACTTTACCTGGCTAATCCTTCCCCTGCCGTGTGTCCTCCTTCATCTTAATCTCTCTCTAATCTCTCCCCTCCTGTCTCACTCTTTTATCTCTCCCCCTCTCCCTGCCTAACCTTTACCTCCCCTCTTACTTTACTTCGCTCGTTCCTCTCATCCCTCCCTCCCACAGGCAAAAATGGTAATTTGAAATAAGCCATCTCTTTCTCTCTATTTCTTTCCCCTTTTCTCCTCCATCTCCTCTCAAGTCCTCCATCTACCAGTCCATCCTAATCTCTCTGTTTGACCTCTCTTTCTCCATCTCCCTTGTTCCCTTCACCCCAAGGGATGAAAATACTGTTTAGTTATTGATAAACTTACTGTAGCTGCACATCGCATAAATATTCACCAGTTCTGCCTCTCAGTGCAAAGGCAAAGGCTTATGACTGTGAAAACCCCCAAGGAGCAACAAGCGTGCACGCACACACACATACACACATACACACATAAACTAACTGCATAAAAACTTAAAAACAGACCCTAGAGCCCCGTGATGTTGTTAAGAAGATGCTCGGCAAAAGATGAAAGGCAAAATGGATTTATGGGGAGGCGGAAATGCTCTGTATTTGGGAAAGTCAGGGTAGTGTGTGTGTGCATGTTTGCTTGTGTTTTTTGTGGACCTCCTATGGAGGCTCTGTCCAGTTCATGCAGCATTTCAAGCCTTTATATATTGATATATTATTATAAAATGTTGGATTAATGAGCTCCCCATTATATTTTTAAATTCATGTGTGTTATGTTTGCTGTTTGGTATTTTTAAAGGAATAGTCTCATATTTTAGGAAAGAACGCTTATTCGATATCTCACAGAAAAGGCAAGAATCACGCGTACGGTAAATATGTAGATAAGGTCAGCAAGCGGTTAGTTTAACAGTTGCCAGGCAACCAGTGGAGTCTCCAGTAAGTTACTGCCCTTGGCCAAGTCACAGACCGGCAAATAACCCCCTGTGAAACAGTGAACTGTTTATTTGTTACTTTATTCATTTCTTTTTCATTTCTTTTTTACTTGTGGTTTATAAAACAACAGATATACAAAATGATACAAAAAATACTTTCAATAATTGCCTGTGTGGCAGAAGTAGCACAATTTACAGACTAGTTGTATTTTGCTTTTGTTAAAAAAAATATACATATTAAATCAAATACACTAGAACTACTGACACTTACATTTCTACTGATCCTATCGAGAAGCGGAGAGAAAGATGAAATAGTAGTGTAGTCATAGCAGCAGCTGGGGTTATAAATTCAATCCATTTATTTCAGATTTGATAGAATTTTTTCTTCTCCTCTGAGAGAAGGTCAACTTTTTCATTTTAAATGCTTCTAAAATTATTCTGCAACAATCTTCCCAAGTAGGTGGTACTGGGTTTAGCCATTTTCTTGTGATTGATGTTTTATTTGCCGCCAAAAGGGCCTGCAGCAGCTTTGTATCCCTCCTCTGATTCAAAAACATAATGTGACCCAGATAAAGAGTTTCCAAGTTCTAGGATATCAGAGTCTTAAACACAGTGCTTAATGTTTTGTGGATGCCCTTCCAGTACCACCTCAGTGCGGGGCAGTCCCAGAATATATGAACATGGTTTACATCCATTGAGCCACATTGTCTCCAGCATGACAAACTTGTATTTTTGTATTCTTCCTGCTGTGGGTTCCTAAAATATCTTATAATATTATTCCAACAACGTTCTCTCCAATCCATAGAGGTAGATGAAAACTGCAAGTATCCCTCCAGGCCTCCTCAGAGAGCCCAATTCTTTTCTTATAACTTTTCTTTGTTATACAAGGTGTTCACATTTTTAGCATAAAACAGAGCTTTACACAATCTAGAGACAATTATTTTAAACTTTACTTTCATACGGATTAAACAAATGAGATATAACGTGTCAATTAGTGAACTTTATAGGGGCTTTGGACAAACCCAGGCTAGCTGTTTCCCCCTGTTTCATGGCAGGGGCGGCTGTGGCTTAGAAAGTAGAGTGGGTCGTCCACTAATCACAAGATCAGCAGCTCCATCCCCGAAGTCGAAGTATCCTTAAGCAAGATACTGAACCACAAATTGCTCCAGATGGCCTTTCATCAGGAGTGTGTGAGTGTGCTAAAAACTGAGGAACAGGTGGCACCTTGTATGACAGCCTTGGCCAGCAGTGTGTGAATGTGTGTGTGAATGGGTCAATGTGAGTCGCAGTGTAAAAAGCACTTTGAGTGGTCAGATGACTAGAAAGGCACTGTACAAGTGCAGGTCCATTTACAAGGTCCATCTTTAAGCTAAGCTAATTGGTAGTGGTTGTAGCTTCATATTTACCGTACATACATGTTTAAGTTTAGGTTTATTCATTTTATTAAACCCCATGAGGGGAAGTTCAATGTTTTCACTCTTGCTTGTCAATTACACACAGGTCTGAAAGACACACACATGCACAAACAGGACCTATACATGCACAAAGTGGAGAGATCTCAGAGTGAGGGGGCTGCCCTTTGGTCATGGGGGTGGATTACTCCGTTCTGATTGGCATTCTGACTGTCTGACACCTACTAAATAGCTCCAGTGAGACTGTTCTGTTCACAGTTCTAAATAAATGCGCCACCTACATTTTAGTATCAGCCTGTAACAAATATGAATAAGGGAGGCAGTCAAATTCTCTGTTTACAATTAATTTCCAACATTGAGTGTAGTCTTCAGTGCTTCATCACCACAGGACGGAGACTGTAACACACGCTGCAGGTACTGCACTGCCCCTCTGGATTTAAGCAATCATTTCACATCCCACCTGCTATTCAACTCATCCCTCTGCTGTGTGTCGGACAGTTCACCCCTTTGCATTATCTGTTAATAACTGACAATGAAGACACTGTCGAGCATTATCCCTTACACTATATGTATATATATTTATATTATTCAGTATAATATGACTGAGACTAAAAGTAGTAGGGGTGGGAATCTCTAGGGACCTCATGATTCAATTCAATAACAATTCAGAGGGCTATGATTAGATTATAAAACGATTAATGATGCATCTCAGTGCATCAGATTATTGATTTCTATACGTGATTTCTTTTTCTCACTGTATGACTACTTACTACTTTTAAAAAATAGCATACTGTATTTGTAGTGATCCATAATTAAATAAGCAGATACATTTACTTGCATACTATCTGGGTCTTTGGCAGGTCCTTTTTCCATTCAATCTTAAAGCCAAAATGCTTCCATTCTGTAGCATGAAATTCACCAGCTGTTAAATAATAAATAGTCTGCAGCCTTTTTATTTTAAAAAGTTAACTGCATTGATTAATTAATTTGAAAGCACCTTACAGTAAAATGAGGGGGAGGCAGGTCATCCACTGTGTTGCTTTAATGTCTCCAGCAGTGGAGAGCAGCCTCTCTGCTGCACATTCGCTCTGGGAAAAGCCAGCATGCTGAGTGGATTGGGTGCAGGGTTTTTGAGGTGAAACAGACCGAACAGATTTTTCTCCCCACAGAATTGGTTTAAGTTGGTTAATGCTGCAGTGAAAGTTGTTCAGCTGATCTTGTTTGTTTACATGCTGATCGCTGCTCCTCTCCGTTAACGTTAGTCTCTGGTTCATGCTGAAAAACTATTCTCAATATATATCAGGTTCACCTCACAAATATAATCATTTAAACATTAAATTCAAACATCTTGCAACCGCTGCCTTTTGTGAAGATGAATTACAAGTTAACTCTGGCGTGTCCACGCTGTTGACTGCCTCTTTTATTCCGTCAACATCAGGTTATTAATAAACATTAAGATAATCGATTATTGACATTTGTGATTCAGTGCCGAATCGTCCACATCCTCATTTAGAAATTGGTTATTTCCCCCACCCCTAGAGGGCAGGGTACCCTCACTGTGAATTCACTTATAAACTGTGGGGAAAAAAACACTAAGGAATAGTATGGGGTACTGCAGGAGTTGGCAAAACAAGCAAGTTGTGAAATATACAATGTCAAATCTTTATCTTTATTACCTTCCATCACTGTCCTTGCATTTAAGGATACAAAAGATCAATACTTACTGATTAAGTTTATATTATTAAGATTTATTACCATCTCATGTTATTTCAATCACATTGAAGTCTAAGGTGAACGAATCATGAATCAATTCTAGTGTGGAAGTAAAAGCGTTTGCCTCCTTCCTCACTGAAGGGCATTGTGAGTGAACTTTGGTCTGACGGCATCATGAAGCTCTTATTGTGCTGTTCTCATTGCCAAAAAATCTATTGTGTGTAACGTTCTGCAAAAAAATGTTTTAGTGACCCAGTGCGCCCTGATTTAGTGCACATCAAAAGACACTGAGACATCTAGTTTAAATAATATATCATATTTAAATATAAATAAGCTTGGTTGAAAATGACTACTTAAATGTGAGACATGTCCTCACTACAGACTGAAGTCATTGAAATGCTGTTGAAACAACTACTACATGTGACCTAGATATCTAAAAAAAAACTTTTGCTTTGACCCAAATTTAGCCCCCTTTTATACAATGGAGTCCAACAAGACACAAAGCTCCAAATCAATGCTTATTGGGAAAGTTACACGCAGGTGAAGACAGTTCACAGTGTTTTACTACCTTTTAGTTAAGTGTCATTAGGAGTCCTGAGCAGCCAACTGCAGACATTAAACCAGCGGTGTCACAGCTGATTTAACTGTTTGGATCATTCAGCTCTCACTCCTCAGATCCACAGCCTTTCATTCTCTATAGCTCTTGAGATAATCTTCCAATTGCCTCCTGGTTTGTTGTTGGCATAGATGCCTGCCAGCGGCATCATGGCAGAAAATACACACTGATGAGATTAGTAGTCCTAATTTAAGAGGTGCAATACATTTAAATTTCCCTCAATAAAAGGCAATACTTATTCAGGCAGGTAATCTTATCTTCTCTCCTGCAAGTTTAAAGCACTGACACCAAACCGAATGTTTTACATAAACTCCCTCTGCTCATGTGTGTAAATATTATGTAAATATCATCATTAATATTTAAATGTGAGACTCATTCTTGACAGATTTTTTTTTTTTTGGACAGCTCAAAGTCTTAATGTGTGCAGTGATGCTGCAGTTTTGCTGGCACCTTCTGTACAAAGCTATGTGACACTTTTACACAGCGGACATGAAGCCAGTGAATTGACGGCTTCAAGACAAATTTTGTCCCCTTCATGAAAGATGCTCGCGTGTCTGAGTGCAGGCAGGAAACTTCAGCTTGGCATGCGTGAAATCAATGTTTTCACACCAAAGGTTATGTGTTCCCTACAGCGACCATCTTACACTGTGTGTCTGGGTGTCTGACTCTGTGTGTGTGTGTGTGTGTGTGTGTGTGTGTGTGTGTGTGTGTGTGTGTTTACCTGCAGGCCCTTAGCCGTCAGAGTGCGGGGGTTGGCGACGTAAGTGTGTAAACGTCCGTCCACTCCTCTCAGCAGCGGCTCAGAGTCTCGGACATACTGCAGGTCTCTGGATGTTCGCAGGTCTACCACCTCCATAGACTGACTCACATTCTGAACCTGGCGTGCGCACACACACACACACACACACACACACACACACACACACACACACACACACACACGCACACACACACACACACAAACACGCACACACACAACACGCACAGTTGATATGATGAGTAATTACTGTTAGTATCCTGCAAGGCCAGAAATGCTTATGATTGGTTTTGGCTGTGGATTGATCACTGCCACCTGTTATTTGTTTCCAAACACCTGTTGTTGTTCAATATGGCTATGTGCTGATGTCATTTAATATTTAAAGGGTTAGTTCACACAAATTGCACATTACACATTTTCTTACCTATCTAGATAGTTTGATCTGCTCGGGAGATATCCATCTGTGAGATATCTGCTTCCACCCCATTACAACAGAATTAAACATGTTTTCATGTGCGGCACAGTCCTTACTAATGAGAAACTCTGTGTCTATCTAGAAACATCGTCCCCATTTCTTCAGTTAATTCACTGTACTCTGAGTGACAATTCATTCTTCAGATATTTTTTTGTTTCAGTTTTGAATAATTTCTATAATAATTTGCTTTTTGTGTGGATTAAGTATTAACATTTTTCTCAAAAGGAAGACATTGGGCCCTATTTAGATGGTCTAAAACGCGAAGCGCCAGGCGTGCAGCACATGGGCGTGTCCCAGTCACTTGCTAGTTAGACAGCGCATTTTTAGAGTGTCACCTCTCATTCCCTTTAAAAGAGGTGCGATTGGAGCGCATGGTGGAGAGCTAGTTAGATGGCAGACCTACCAACTGGAAAGAGTGAGCGTTTTACAGCTGAGGAGACGTGCGGGAGGTGAAGGCCCGTCAGAACCAGATCTACGGGGACAGCAGACAGGCACCCAAGCTCCCTAAGGTAAAGCAGGCGTGGGATCACTAATACAAGAAAGATCTTACCAAATATCTGTGGAATATTATTCAAACCTGTTTTCATCATATAACAGAGCACAGCTGTCAGGACTGCCGTGGAGCTCCCCAAGGTGCTGATCCTGCAGCTAGGACCTGTTCAGCGTTTTCTCCCCCACCCACATTTGTTAATTGTTTTCACATGTTTCCTAGAGCTGTGTTCTGCCTCTTATTTGCATGTGTGTCCTCTCTACACTCAGATAACAATATAATAATATAATATAATGTAGCCTAGTATATAATGTAGCCTAGTATAACATGTTAAAATAAATGCAATGTGTGGGCTTTGGTTTTCAATCAAAAAAATGATTGATCGGTCAGATAATTTCACAATTTCATTTGTCATTATTACAAATTATGATGATCATTATTACGGCGATTAGATCATTCTGATTAATGACTGACCATTAAGACGTGTTTCTGATAAATATTTTAATGTGCACAATAATAACCTTTCACATTGTAATCATATTTTTCTTTGTTATCTTTTGCATATGTGTGGCTGCTTCATGTGTGTCTGAGCAGAGTGCACGCGCGTTGTGCACCCGCCTAGAGACGCATATTACTAACTTGTTTAACAGCGAAATACTGCGCCGTTGACTTTAGACCAGGTTTTTGTTGGTCACTGGCGCATTTGCTTGTTACGTCATCTAACTAGCAACGCACCATGACTGCGCCTGACCACTTCTCATTTTTAGACCAACACACCCAGAGAAGGGCAAGTTCATTTGCTAGTTAGACGACGAGGACGCAGGGCGTGAAAATGACAACTGTGCCTGCATCTAAATAGCAATGACTCATATGCGCCCTCTGCCGTCCGCTTTAGACCATCTAAATAGGGCCCATTATCTTTTGGAGCAGAAACACACTTTCCCAGAAGTCCCAGGGAACTGACTTGTTTGTAAGGTAACTCCAGCTACAGTCAAAACGGATTGGTAATAACTTAAGCAACATAACTTGCTGGATTAAATACTAATTTGATAATTAATTATTTAATTTAATAGCTATAAAGTCGAAGCTATTGTCTGTATTGGACAACAGTGCAGCCCACCACGGATAGACCGTAGATCTGGCTTCACTTCCAAATCCGACTTGCAGTCAAAGCGCCAGCGGGAGGCAGACAGCTTGGCATCAGACAGCAGCGGCTCCTCCTTTGGCCAGGAGCAACTTTGCCACTGCTTCCATGGACCCCACTGATGACAGCACCCCGGGCAGCAGTATCCGTCTGTGGCACCCTTTTCTACACTGTAGCATAACAAAAATTGTACCTCGATGATGATGCAAGTGTACTCGCATCAACATTACTAATGTGAAAGCTAAACAGTGGGGGAGTGGAAGTGGGGGTGATAGTACATGGGCACTGTATGAATCATTTGTACCCAATATGAAAAAGGCCTAAGTGAGTTTGATTACTGTGTCACTGTGACAATTTTGACTGTTATTTATTTAAAAAGAGTGAGTGTCAGCAGCCTACCTTTGAGCTTAATGCTAACATGCTGATGTTGAGCAGGTATAATGTTCACCATCTCAGTTTGGCCTGTTAGCATGCAAACGTTTTCTCATAAGCCCTAAATGCAAAGGACAGCATTGTACAAATTAAAATTTTGACCTGATGGTGGATGAAATGGAAGGGATCATCAAAGTTATTAGTATCTAATCCCTGGGGACATTAAATATCTCAATTTCAATAATTTCACAGCAATCCATCCAATAGTGATGAATTAATAATGAACAAAATAATGAATGAATGAATGAATGAAATAATGAACTAAAAACATCTTAAGTAAAGAAGAAGGGATCAACTCAGTCATTTGGCAGGGTTCATATGCTAGTAGCTTTCTGGCTGTCAGGAAACTTTGAAAAGAGTGACTCAGAGGTAGCGTGGCCAAGCGGTCTAAGGCGCTGGATTAAGGCTCCAGTCACTTCGGGACCGCTGCCAGGATTTTAAGGGGCACAGGGACTTGGTTTGGGAGCTAAAGTTCAAGTGTGGATTGGTAGTTGGAGAGGTGCCAGTGTGCCTCCTGGACCTTGAGCTAGGCACTGAATCCCCAACTGCTCAGGGCCTGTAGGCAGCCCTCTTGCTCTGACATCTCTCTATTAAATGCATGTGTAGTGTATTTCACATGCTCAAACATGTGTTTGTGCATGTGAAATACATTTCCAGCCTGTGTGTGTATATGACAATAGAGTGAGAAAAATTGCATTTCCCCTCAGGGATTAATTTAGCACTCATCGTACCTCTGCAGTTAGGGCTAGTTTGATGGCGGATGAGAGGGAATCACTGCAGCAGTGGTTGTCACGCTGGTCACCAGGGTAAAAACAACGCACAGAAGCAGCCTGGTGCTCAACGTTAGCTCCTTTAGCATGGCTAGCCAGCACTGCCTCTCCCATGTTCGTCATGTTAAACGTTAAACTACACAGTACACATTTTGCATGCCCGGGTCCTGGTCTTTCTCGAGCCACGCCTTATACTTGTCCAAGTAAAGCCAGACAAAAATAAATTGGCTCTTTTTCTGGCATTACATGAATTTACTACATGAAAGCACCGACTCAAGTTGGAATCTGACGTTACCTATATACAGAACAACATAACATCAAGTGACATGACTGATCTGCCTGAACATTAACACTGTCTACACAGTATATATACTGTGTATACTGTCCATGACTTTTCCTAAACTCTCTGGGTTTATTTATTTTTCCAAAACCTCTCCAGACCAAGAAACTGCTAATTTTCATTTCCATGACTTTTCCAGGTTTTCCATGAATGTGTAAACCCTGATTAGGGTTCATCCTTTTGGGAGCACAAATGTGTGTTCAAAATTTCACAGTAATCTGATTCAGGAAAGTCATATTGCTACTGAATTTTTGATGAAATCTTGTAAAGCTGTGAGCCCCACAGGCAAAATTCCTCCCTTCACAGTTTTAAAGAGGAGGTGGCAGAAATCTCAGGGACAGATGAGTCAAAACCGGACAAATAAAACCAACAGAGGTGTGAGAAAGTGTGTTTTGGGTTACGTGCAGTCTGTGTTTGAGGTGAACCAGACCTTTAATGTTGCTGCCACTGTGGCTCAACAACATAATGCAAAGTCACACGGATCATATTTCTCTTTGAAGAAGCTTCTCATTAGATCCATTTAAAACATGAGATTCTCACCTAGAGTCTGTTCTGCTCTAAAGAAACAAACACTCCCACGCTCTTCTCATTAACCATCCTGAAAATGCTACCAGATACTTCAAATCTCTTTTGATATTGAATGGAAAAACAAGCATGAAAAAAAGAAAATCCATTATAAAAAATGACCCAGATATCCAGAAGCGATATGCAAACAAACAAACAAACACTCAGGCAAAAACCCACCCACACATCTCCCACCGAACACATGCTAGAGAGGCCGGAGACAAGCGGAAAAATCTGAGCACAACACGCATAAACACACACATGCATACACACACACACATTCACACTCACAGCAGGATCTAGGTGTCACTTCCAGAGACACGCTGAGCTAATTAAGATTCATAAATACAGAAGCCTCCCAACAGGAACAGAGCGAGGAGCGAGGAGAAGAAGTTATTTCAGATAGTGTTCATCTTTTTTCTTACTCTTTTTGTGTGAGGAAAGTACAGGATGCAACACCAGCAGCGAATGAAAATAACCCTCGTGATGTTATCGTTAGTGCGCCGTGGTTCACTTGTATTTTGGTGAGAATGCAGGATGTATATTTCCTGAAGTGTGCGCCTTGCAGTACAGCATGCTCTGGGAAATGTTTGCTGGCCTGATGGTGTTCAATAATTCATCAACTTCTGTCACAAATCACTTTTATTTCTCTCAGGGCGCACATATACATTGAGAGAAATGTGCTTACGCAGCCAGATGCATATCCTCACATAAACACACACATATACACACATATGTATGAACACATAGACATTCAAGCATACAAATACCCTTACAGAGCTGCACTCTGCAATATAGAACAAAGTATTTCTTTCCCACCCATCTGTCAGTGTTTCCTTTGAGTTTAAAATCTTTTGGCATGTTGAATGACTGGGAGTCTTTAGAGGATACAGCTACTGATGTATCGGGGATACATCTGTCAGTGAAACCTGGGTGTGTGTGTGTGTCTGTTCATGTGTGTTTCTGCAAGTGTCAAAACAAAGAGACAGTCCAGTGAATATTTCATTCCAGTACGCTGCCTTTCCCCTGTGTTGCATCGCAATGCTGACCACTGAAACATGCAGGGATGCACTCAGAGTCAAGAGACAAACAAAAACAAAAACAAATACACACACCCACACACACCTGTTCAGTCAGCAGGCGTAGTTGTCGACTCCGAGGGTCTCGTTTGCAGAGGTTTCGTGCCGGAGCGACCACCGTGCAAACACACCTGCCGTCAGGATCTGAGGCCGTGCTGTACACCTGCCAGCCCTCCTCTGAGCCTGGGTACAAACCCTGCACACAAACAAGCTCTGCGTTAATGAAGTCACTGTGGGAATACCGTGTCTGCTGTGGATTCAACAGAGAGGGTCAATAAAACCCATTTTAAATTATGGGATTTTGCTGTTTTGTTTTTGTCTGTGTGTGTTTATTTTGTCAGTTGCTCACATTTTTTGAGAATAAACATGACCTTTGGGTACTTTTGTTTATTTGAAATAAATAAATTCAAATAAAACATGTTTGGGTGATGGACTAGTTATTGGACAAAGCAAGGGATGTGAAGTCACCATGGACTCAATTTGTGATATTGAGTCCTGGTATATACATAAAAGCGACTTAATGGTCATTTTTGACATCCTATAGACAAGACAATTATCTGAATATCTGAGAAAAAAATCATGATATTACTATTACACAAAATGATCATTACTTGTTTAAATATACCTTGTGTAATATGATTGCTAAGCTTGCCATTTCTACTGGTTAACACTTTTTAAAATCCTATTTTTGTCCCCCACTACCTCTAAAAAAGATTGATTTGATTAATAAAAACTAAAATCAAGGCCATTACAAAATGCAATTTTAATTTCACTTAAATAGAGGAGTCCATTTCTAAAAGCGTTAATGTGTTTATAATAAACAGTGTAATACTTCCAGGGAAATAAAAACACAATTTTTCTCAGATGAAAAATTCTTTTCAGAATGTTATGATTAAGACTTATTAATAATTTTAAGTTTAGATGCAGTATTAACCCTATGCATAGTTGATAGGCTGACGGGAATGTTGTTAGTTATTTTACCATCAACCAAAATATTGGACAACTTAAAACCCTGGCCTGATGATAGCACTGGATGGCAACAGTTGTTGCAATTCATTCAGAGGTGGACAAGACATGTCTGAACCAAGGGTCATGGCAGTCTAATCAGTGCTTGTCGAGACATTCAACTATTTTTGTTTTTTGGTATGCAAAGGTTTCCAGCAATCTCTTAGATTATAAAAATAGGGATCACTTTCAAATATGCAAAGATCTGAGTCAGACACACTTAAGTCCACATTCATGACCTGTGCTGTCAGAAAAATAAACCCAGAGGACAAAAAAGAAGAGCAAACAAGAATGCTGTGAAAATGCAAAATGCAAAGTTGTCCTCACGTCAAAACATTGCTATTGTTGGAGTGTGCTTGTCAGCAGTGATGGAAGACGTATTTCCTTTTTTTACTACAGTAAAAGTACAAATACCACACTGTAAAAATACTCTGCTACATGTTAAAGTCCTGCATTCAAAACCTCATGTAGTAAAAGTATATACAATGATTCTCACAAAATGTACTTAGAGTATGAAAAGTAAAAGTACTCTCTCTGCAGTTAATGTTCCCTGTTAGTGTTTAACTACCATATACGATGTTTTAGGATCAATATTATTGCTGCATTAACATGTATGACATAGCTCAGCTGTAGTGATTGGACTACAACTTCCTCTTCACTAGCAGCTTGACTGGTGCTTGAGTGGTGCATTGTGGGATACACTTGGCTCTAAATACGTCTCTTATGTATGCTGGGAAGTGCACATCAAGTGTGGGTGAAGTGTACTCTGTTGCATGTTGTTCAGACATGGGACTGACTTCCTTATTGCCTGGTGATGTTTGAACGTGCACTAAAGTGCCCAAGATCTAAAGCACGGGTACTGGCTGGGTCGTAAAGCGATTAAGTAAAATTAAATTCAAAAATTGAGTGTGTATTTAAAGATAGATTGTCTTAAATCTTTGCAGAATACCAATATATACCAGAGCGGTGTGTATAAACTGTGAAAAAACAAACTCAGCAGAACTTACGTCACAAATTACATCAGTGTTTGAAAAAGAAATCAGCCATGACAGAAGAAAGGAAGCTTTCAGTCATGAGGGGCTGCCTAAAAGCATCACACATTTTATTTTGTTGTTTGTTTGAAATAAATCCATTTCCCCTCAATCTGAAAGGTAATTGGCAGTCATCAGGGCTGCCTGCCACCTCCCCCAAGCTTCCTCCATCTCCAAGCGGACGATGATCGTGCTCACAAGCAGATCTACCACATGAAAAGGGAGATACAAGGCCTGGTGGCTTTTAAGAGAGAACCACTGAAGGGAAGGGAGAGTCTTTGCCTACACGATTGGCAACAGTAAACTGAGAATAAGCAGTCTGCAGGAGCTTCTAGAGATCAGGAAAAGGGAGTTCAAAGACAAATACAAAAAGAGCCAGGAGACCATCACAAAGCATGAGACAGAAATCTCCCAGCTCAAGAAAAGTCTCCAATTCCAGGAGGAGATAATGGATGCTGCCCAGCACTTGAGCAAGTTGAGTACAACGAGATGGTAGCAAGGTTTGAGACAGAGAAACAAACAACCAAGTGTTAATGGTGACATCTGAGTGCCAGAAGCTGCAGATTGAATACAAAAAGAAACTGAGACAGTTGGAGGGGCTGATCATCCAGACGGACACTAGAATCCTACATCTCATGAGGGAGAGGGATCATCTCTCTTAGAAGTACACTGACCTCTAAAACCAGCTGTGGAGCACAGTAGGTGAACTCCTTTATCTCATGGTTGAGAAACCACAGAGCTGGGAGACGGACCTTAAGCATAGTGAGGGAGAGAATATGCAACTAGATGGAGAGAAGAAGGTCTGAAAGCAACTGTTTGTTTGCTTCACAAAAAATGTGACAAGACAGACAGAGATGGAGAAAACAAAAAGCAAATGTATGAGAAGAAGGAAAAGGAGGAGAAGGCTGAGATGAAAAATAAAGAAAACGAGGAGAAGATGAAGAAGAAGAGGAAGAATTATATTCTGTATAGGATGCACAAGCACAACAACAAGGTGGAGGAGGCTGCATGTTGTTCTGCACCAGTTGGACCACAATAGCTTCCTTTTCCTCCCCATTCATCCCTTCATCCTCCCCTCCTGCCTTCATCTCCCTTACCCCCTCCTTCTACCCACCCTTCCTCCATTCTCCCCTCCACCCTTCCTTCCTCAACCTAACCCCCTACCCTTTAACCTAGCTAAATTTAGGGCAGCACAGTGGCTCAGTGATTAGCACTGCAGCCACACAGAGACACCTCCTCCTGCTTCTGTGTGGAGTTTAAATGTCCTCCTGTGTCTGTGTGGGTTTTCTCCTGGTCCTCAGGTTTTCTCCCGCATTCTACACATATCCATATTCCAAATATATTTAAAAAAACTTCGAACAAACTAAGATAAAGATCAAATAATCAAATAAAAGTTCAGTATGTCTGCTTTTTTTTTTAAAAATAAACTAGTCCATACCCATTGGTAGCTTTGTCACCTTCTACCTATGCCAATCCTCAATGCCTATGTGCAGTTTCACATAGATTGACCACGTCAGTGAGTAGAAAAACGTGGGATAGACAGAAGGACTGACTGACAGAATGACACACTGACAGTTTCCGTGATTATGTACAGCATACCATACCATGACTTAGTCATACCAAAAATTAGAAAAAAAACCTCAAAACATTGGGCCACAGGGGGAGCCACAGCGATCGGGCGCATTTTAGCCATTTTTAAGCATTTTTCTGTTGTTATAGCGCCACCCAGTTGCCAATTAGAGTTAAATTTCTCCAGTCACCTTGAGGCGTCCTATTCTACATATTTACCAAGTTTAGTAAAAATCGATATGGCGGTTAGGCCTAGATAAGAAATTAGCTCTTTAGCGCCCCCATTTTGTTTGATGGGGTCAATAATGGAGGGGTCCCCTCAGATTATGTGTGGTCATATGCCTACAAAGTTGCGTGGTGATCAGTGAAACCCTTGAGATGTTATACACCTTTATGTGATGAGCCACGCCCTCCGCAATATTCATTGCCTTATAGAAGCTCAGTTTTAGTAAGTTTTCCATTTTTTGCCAAGAGGGAACTTCAGATATTGGTCCCTAGATTATGTTCACCGAGTTTCATGCAGATTGGTCAAACTTCCTAGGAAGAGATCGATTTGAAGTGTTTTTCAAAAAATTCAAAATGGCGGAAAATCTATATAACCGGAAGTTATGGGTTCTTGAGGCAAATGTGTTCCTCATGAGGAGAGGCATCTCTGTGCAAAGTTTCATGTCTCTACGACATACGGGGCATGAGATATGCCCATTCAAAGTTTGCAATTTCAATCAGTTGCTATAGCGCCCCCCTTTGGCCAATTGATGTAATATTGCTTCATTCGCATCCTCCCATGACCCTCTACCACTGTGCCAAATTTCACATGGATTGACCAAGTCAGTGAGGAGAAAAATGTGGGACAGACACACACACAGATACACCCACAGACAGAGTTTTCGTCATTATATAGTAAGATGTATAAATACATTATTGTATGTCATTATGGAGGCTGTTAAGTAGGATTGGACGATATGGAAAAATTAAATCACACAACATTTTTACCAAATACCTCAATATTGCTATTGCAACGATATTGTAGGGTGGATTATTGATGCTTTCATAAAATATTTTGATTAGAATTTATATAAATAATAACCAGCAATGTGGATATAATGACTAAGTGGGTAAAGGCAAATAATTGTACAGCTAGCACAATGTGGTAAGATCAGAAAATTGCATCACTTTACTGTAATGCAGCCTTTAAAACCAGAAAAAGACTACACTTATGATACTGTATGATGATATCCAAATACAGTATACAGTAAGATGATACTATCTAGTCTCACACCACAATATCAACAAAATATTGATATATTGCTGGTGGGACCCTCCAGAACCCAAACTGCAGAGAGCAAACAGCGACCAGTGGTGCCTTTGCTAAATGGCCTCCTGACACCAAAAGAAACTGAATCATTCTGCTGCACTGAATGTCAGTGTGGAAAGTGTTTTTCTGGAGGCTGTCACCATTTACAAACCAGAGAGAGCCCATGTGTGTGTTGCTATGCATGTAAGTTTTACTTCTCATTAGGACAAAAGTGTGCTGGAGACTATGGTTGGACTATTTGATAAAGAGAGTATTTTGAGTACATCACTTTTCTTT